AATAACTTTGCACCAAAAATGTTCCTTTAACATTCTGAAAGTGAGCATCACCCCCATCTGCTTCCCTTTATCTTATAGAATGACAGGGCTGTTTGTGGAGCTGATCAGAGTTCACCTATAATATCTGCCTCTGAGTCCTAAGCCTTGTGTGTGCTTGTGTAAAAATGTGAATAAAAAGAGCAGCATTCCTAGAAAATAAGAAAGGTCGCAAACGAGAGAAGGACGCTGGGATAGATCTGAGTATCCAGGATATCAGCTTCAGCAACATTGCTAAGCTGCTTGGTCCATACTCCCACAATCCATTGTGTAAAAGGTGCTTCCTGTTCTAAGTTTTAAATGCTTGTCACTGAAGTTTTCGTTTCGGTCTTCTGGTTTATTTCTTTACTATTGATTTTTAAAAAATCAGTTAGGTTGACTGTCAATGCTTGAGGAATTTTGAATCATTGAATTGGGTCTCCACAAAATGCTCCCTTTTCAGGGCTTAAGAGAATATTTTTTTTCTGTTGCTGTAGAATCTTAAATCCAGGAATACATCTGATCACTCTTAACCAGATTCCACACCAGTAATTTATTTTTATGTAGTTCCCACAACATGTTGTCCACAGCATTCTAAATGAGGCCTTATTAGTACATAATACATAACAAATCTTGATTAAAATCTTAGATGTTAAACTATATGTTCCAACATTGTGCTTTTTAAATTTTCTTTCCGATTGTCTAGGAGATGAAAATGGTTTATAAGTGCCTTCTTCAATATCATCCTACATTTGTAATGCATTACATGTTACCTGCATTTAATACTTCGTCTACATTAGGTATTGACAAGGTTATCTCCCATGTTTTTGTCCAGTCTTGGATGTTGTTTGATATTTTAAAATTTCCTTTTCAGCTTCAACATTGTAAGAGCTGCATTGCATGTTGAAACTTAAACCTAGACTTTAAAAAAAAATCAGGCAACTTTTATTTTTACAGTTTTCAGAGGACTGCATTTTTTTAAAGTCCTATTTACATACACATCCAGTATGTATTGAGCTTAGTCAGTGTTTTTATTATTTAAGCTTCTGAATTGCATGATATTCAAATAACCAAACTCATAATCCCCTAACTCTCCAATGCTCATCACATGATAAGCAGTAAACCTACCTTACTATTTATCCATGGCTTGAGTATAAAGCATAAAGTATAAAATTTCCACATTTATCCTGTAGAGGATACTCTTGTCTTCTCCCAGTAGCAGTGCTGTGCTAAAACTCAGACTCATATGAAATAAGACACTTAGCTCTGAGAAGCTAATATTTATTGTTGTTGTATGAAATTGTTTAATCTGTGACTTTAGTCATTATTCAGGGATTTCTCTTATGTACTTGTTTTTCTTCTTTTATTTTATATCCCAGTTGCAAAGAGAAATCTACCCGTTTGCATTTCTGTTCTTATAACTTAAAAACCTGCATCGTGGTATGTTGGTGTTCATTTAAAGATTTACTCATGCTGCAGTGCAAACTTCTTAAACATTTGGCATTGCTCTCCTCATTTCTCTCAGTTTTCCTTCTTTATGCAAAAGCATAATAAATGTTGTTTTAAAAGGAGTTAATCCTGATGTATTTGTGTTTTGTAGTGCAAAAAGTAACGCTTTAGCTTTATGACTATTTAGAGGATGTTAATACTGAGGAAAAGCCAATTCAATTTGATTACACTTTTTAAATGGATAGATTGTCTGCTACAGCATGTAATATTAAATGCGGATGTATTTAATTGACCCCGAGTTATTCTGTTGTTGGGTGGCACAGTGGTTGGCATTTCTGCCTCGCAGAGCTGGGGCTCTGGGTTAGATTCCAGGCCTGGGGTGCTGTCTGTGTGGAGTTTGCATGTTCTCCCTGTGTTTGTGTGGGTTTTCTCCGGGTGCTCCAGTTTCCTCCCTTTGTCCCAAAACATTCTGGTAGGTTAATTGGTTTGTGTGAAAATTGGCCCTGGTCTGAGTGTGTGTGTGTTGGGGTCTGTGTGTGCCCTGCGATGGACTGGCATCCCATCCAGGGAGTATCCCACCTTGTGCCCAGTGCTACCTGGGATAGGTTTTTGTTCCCCCGCAAACATGAATTGGAAGAAGTGTTTAGATGGATGGATTTTCTGATGCAGTGTTTTAAGTTTCTGATCAGTAGGAATTAAAGGCTGCTCAATAAAAAGTTTGGTTTCTTCTTCCCCAAACTGACCTGTATTAATAACATTCAAAGCTGTTATAATGGACTATGAGTAAATTGTTGATGCTAATAATACACATATACTGTAACTTCTGATTATGTTTGATTTTGTCTTAAAATCTTAAATGGCAGAGTATATAATATTTTCTATATAATGTGTAACCAGTAAAGCTCATTTATATTTTCAACATATGTAACGTGTTTCTGCTGTGACATTAACTATAAGATTCTGCATAAATGAACGTGAACATCATGATTAGATCAAGTGGTGAATTCCACCCTGTGAACACTTACAGTATATATTCAGTGTGATTCATTGACCACACCGGTTTCTGGATATTAATAGATACACATCTGCACTCAGTTCATGAACATAATCATAGTTTTGCAAGCTGTCATTCACTTGCTGGACTGATTTTAATAAGATGCTAGCATATTTGACTTTGCATTTGTAGTATCACAGTAAATTTGTATGTTGTTTTGCATTCATTTCCAGATGCAGGTGGTAAGGAAGCTGTAGGATCAATTAAAAATAAATTTCTCCTGACAGAGATTATAACTGAAGATGGTTTTCTTCCAGAGCATCTAATTACCATTCTGTTTGGGCACTTATCAGCATTATAAATAACAAGTATAACAGTCAACACAGTGTGACGATAACATGGGGTCTGCTTTTCTCTTTTCCTCACTCTGTGCTTGAGAATGAAAATGTAGGACATCTTTTCAGCTACTCAAAGGGAATGTAAACACTATTGCTATAGTGAACTGCTTTCTAAAAAGACACAGAATGGGTGATGATTTCCACTCTTGCAATCCTCAAAAACAGAGATGCATCCCTGTCAGGTTTCCCTCTACTTTCTTTCTGGCAAAGTGAGAGAAAATATCCAGTTTTATGACAGGAGAAAGAAACATTTGCTTACTCATGTCAGATTCTGTGTGACACTGCTATTGTTCCTGAGTGGAAACGAATTGCATCTTTACACCCTTAGAGTGAACCTCTGATTTTAACATTTGTTTAATTTTAATCTTTTATTATTTTATTTCGATATGGAATGTTAAAAAAAAACAATTCAGTTAAGTTTCTGGCTTTGAACATAGCGACATAATTATAAAGAAATTTTAAGTATATGCTTGGTAAAGGTTTTATCATTTTATCCCCACCTGCAATTTTTCCTTTTTCCTTTTGTAGTAGTGTTAATGGCAACATGGTACTTTGCCAGTGTTGCAAAGAGAGATTGGGCACAACACTTGAAGGTTGTATTGATTGAAAGGCACTGACATGTTGTGAATGTTTCAGACAGTTCCTCTTAAACTCTGTGAACTCCTTCAGTCTGGTGCTTCATCCTTGTTCCAAAAAGACATTTTAGGTCAGCTGTTTCAGGAAAATCTCAGGCAGGAGGGATGTTGTCTAGTTCATTCCCAGGGTTTCTCTTAGAGTGGCCTGGGACAAGCCTGGAAAATCTTTGGAATACAACAATTGCCAAATTCCTTAACTGGTCAAAAATACCTTAACTGGATTTTTTGCACTAACTCTCATGTAGCACCTTCAATAAACCATAGGTTCTGTATTCTGGTGTCTCCATGAAAAATATATTTGGAGTGTGTCTTTCCATTCCCCTTCATCCCTACTGTAGCCTGGATTATTTCATTTATTGTTGCATTTGCATTCATTTGTATTACCTTTAGCACTGTTCGCTTTTTATAGTTCAGTAGTTGCTGTCATTACAACTCATCAGCTAAAAAAAAAAAAAAAGAACAAAGACATTGAAATGAGCAGCTGCAAGAGGCTGAGCTGACCGCCTGCAAAAGACACCTGTATCTGAAACTGGAACAGGCCAAGCAGTTGAACTCTTTGACTAGTCTCCTTGGTGTTAGAATCAAGCAAAGTCTTCTGTATTATGCTCTAAATAAGGCAGCATTTCTGGCATCATAATTGATGAGCACGGTTTCATGATCTGGTGAGTGCAATGCAGAAAGATAGAAAGTGAAGTGATATGATATCATTGCAGCTTGTGTTGTCGGTAGCTTTAAAAGTTTTGTTTTTATTTTAAAAGGTTGGGGTCCCTCAAGTACTAAAACTGTCTCCAAGCCATAAAAGTCATCTGTCCACATTTTTCTGCTTTTCCAAAGTGGTGCCACTCATTAGAGCTGGTTTTATTTGGCCTATCCTGAATAAAAGATCCCTTCATGAAAGTGGCCTTCTCTTTACAAGAGTTACTCATTCTAAAGCTTCTTACTGATGCTTTTATTTTTGTGTACTCATATTAATCAGGGTTGCTAGGGTGCAGATTTTGAAAATGATGTTTTCCCTCCCCATGTCATGCTCCTCCACTTGGTATTTAAATTTAAATTGTTTACATTAAACAGAGCGGAGGAGAAACAGCAGTGATCGTCAGTCGCAAATTTCAAGCGCATCACTTTTACTGGGCTTGTTAAGAAGATCCAAGAAATTCAAATGAAATGCCCAAAGCTGGATTTATATTGCATTCACACGTTCCTTACATTTTTGTGCATTTTGGTTAAACCAAAAAAAACACGGGTAAAATGATTTAATCCTAAAATAAGTTCTTGCATTAAATGAGGCAATTTAGACTTTAAAGAAATTCAAGTTAGAGCACTCTTTGATTTCATTCAGCCTTCATGACTCAGGAATCACAGCAGGATACTACACTACAGGGCTTTTTGTAGTATTGGAAGGTCATTATAACCAATAAACCAACCCATCCCCATTCATGTTCAATTGAATGACCTTTACCGTATCCAGTAACCCAGCAATTAAGGTGATCCTTCCCTTCATCTTTCTAGGTGGCTCTGGTGCAGTGGACAGAGAGTGTGGGACTGACTCTGGTTGGCAGAGACCAATCCTCTATGCAGCTGAGGACTCCTAGTGGACAAATCCTGAATTTCACCATCCTGCAGATCTTCCCCTTCACCTATGAAAGCAAACGCATGGGCATTATTGTCAGGGTAAGGGCTGTCGAATCTTATAAAATAGGCCACCGAAATTCCCAATTGCTGTGCGTGACCAGCTGCTGACATGTTGTGCTGTAACCTGTTCCGAGCGTAGTACAATCTCCTGGTCTGTGTTTTTTTTTTTGCTTTATTCCATCCAAAAGACCCAAAAGATGTTGGGTTGGAAAGCAGCTGGGATGTAGAAAACTGAACTAAAGGATCCGAAAGCCGAGTGTTGAACTTGCTTGATGAATAAGAATTCCCTTCTTATGAGTAGTTATTTTTCTTTCCCAGTTTTTTCTGCATGGATTTATGTAGACTGAAGCTTTAAATCACAGACATAAATATTTTTGCATGAAACAGTGAGCCATTTGATCCTCAAAGTGTTTTTGAAATGGCCGTAAATTGTAAAAAGCACCAGATATTTTGTAACTGCCTCAAAGCATCCAAATTGTGGTCAAATGCAAAACATTTCTCCTTTTATGACATTAAAACTATTGCTTCTTGCATGGTTTGGTGACTGGCAATTTGGATCTAATAATAAAATAATATTTAATTGCATTTATGTAGTGCTTTTATCCCAAAGGATCTGAACTTTCTTTATAGATAGGAAGAGACCCAGTTCTTCAAGCAGTAAAGCTCCCACCTGAGTGATGTGTAGCAGCTCCAAAGCACAGCAGATCAGATGGAGAAGTGGGAAGGTCACACTATAGGGATTGTTTGATCCCTGGTGGAGGTTAACAGCCCTGCTCCTCTGAAAATGTGGTTGGACTTCATGGGATTGATTGTGTTACATGAACTGTGATGGCGTGGTAGGGACGGGCACTGTCCAGTGTAAGGAGTGGCTGGAAAATGCAGATGGGACCTTCTGCAGCACAATGTCTTCAATCATCAAATAGGGTCTTTGTTGCTTTGGAAGCTTTGGTTTAGAGGATGGAGTGCCACCTACAGTTCCACAAACGACATTTGCACTAGGCCAGCCTTTTTATAATCCAAAGTCATACAAGATCAGTCTCTAAGATTGTTGTACAGCCTCTGCACATAACTGTATGTTACACATTTGCTAAATATAGCAGTATGTTAATATATATTAACTGGAATCATATAATTAGACATCATTTTACTCATTTCATTTTACTGTTGATAGTCCTACAATGGGTCTTATGAAACGGGAATTCAAAATTAATTTTAAAACGGACAGTCATTGTTATAAATGCATCCATCAGAGATCATTAAGTGATTAAAGACAGAATATAGCAAGCAAAAGAGCCTGCGCTCAAGTTATGCTGTGGAATAACGCTGTTTAAAATACGCTTAGTGTTCTTGATTTGGCTAGTGAAATGAATGCTCTTCAGCACAGGCCAAAACACATCCAGTTAAAAAAAAAAATCAGTCTTTCAGAGACTGCTTGGATTACGACTTGAATTAAGACCAGACACCTCTGCTGTTTTATTTCTTCCACCTTATCCTTGCTACTGAGTCTCGATAGGACTGAAAAGCCTCATGTTTCAGCTTTATGAAAGGAAATTGCAAGCAAGTGGCTGAATACCTAATTAAATTGCTCTGCTAGTTAATCAGACAGTTTTAGGGTTATCTGAGAAAGAACTAACCCAGCTTTGAACTCTGACAGAGGAAATGACTAATCCGAATACTCAAATGACAAAGTATTATCCTTGGCTTCTAAAAGCCCTGCCTGCCAGCTCAATATCAGGAAGCCGGAGTTTTCGCCTGGCTTCCCAGAGCACATACTTTTTCAAACACCTTCTAAAGACCCGTTTCCATTCCAAAAAAGTTTTCCTTTCTCTGTCTATACAAGCAAACAAAATAGCAAGTGTGTGGTCCCTACCAGCAGAATGAAACAGAAGTTTTTTAAAAGCATACAAGCCAAAAGGAGTGGGATATCACAAGATTTGCCTAGTAAAGTTGACAGTTGAAAGTACTTTTCAGTGTTTCGTCAAGAAAGCAAAAGTCTCCTGGGGGGAAAAAAAAAAGAAAATTTGATAGAATTTTAAAAATATATATTTTTTAGAATCAAATTCACCTTGTGAATGAGAAAATTGGGGCCCGGTAGGTTTTGACAAGTTCAAACCTTTTATAGGTTTAGAAACTTTAAAAAAGCCGTTTTTGGTGTTTAAGTAAACTCGGTGACACTGTACTGTTTTCCAACACCTGTGTTTTTCTAAATGCACTTTGCTTCAGTGCTCTGTCTCCTTTGTACTCCTAGCTTGGCTCCCTTTTTTTTATTGACTGTTGGTTTTGTGTGTTTTCAGGATGAGTCAACAGGAGAGATTACTTTTTACATGAAGGGAGCCGACGTTGTGATGGCGGGCATCGTCCAGTACAACGATTGGTTGGAAGAAGAGGTGCTGTAGACGTACATCAACAATTACAGCAGACGTTTATAAGTCTTCCTATTGTGACTAAGAACCCCACAGCCTTCCATAATAACACTGCAGCAGAGTGAAAAGGTTGTGCCCTCAAGTGCAGCCTACTCGGAGCTTGGCTTCCATTATAGTAAACAGCCCACACAACCACAGCCAGCACTGTGTGAACGGAGAAGGAGGCAGGAAACACCTTCATCTAGATATAGATGGGTGGACGTTTTGGAAAAGGCTTTACTGAATGTTGCTTTGAGGTTTTACAGCGCTTATGAATCAGTTTATCAATGATGATCACGTTGGGCGTTGGTTATTATCCAGCAAATCCCTCCTCTGACAGCTTTGTTGCAGAATGTTAATTCCCGTAGAGCATCGGGTTCATTCGTTTTGTTTGTACGTTAAAGCCGAGCAGGGAAACTGCTCAGCTGATGACATAAATGTTGGCTCCCTCACAATTCATTATTTACCTCTTTATTATGTATGGTATATTTTGTTTCTGACTGTTCATTAACCTACAATACAGTGAAATACAGTATAACTGCTTATTAAGTGGTAGTTAAGATTTATAGTGAATTAACTTGTGAATACTTAGCTTTATAATTCTGTTAAAGTGCTATGTGAGCTTAGATTGTACATTATTATATGAAAATAATGATTAAGTTGCTAAATCAGTAGATAACATTGGAGATGGAGGACAACTGTACACAGTTTGCAAATGTATATGAGCAATCCATGTATATGAAAACTCTGATGGATGGTTATCACAATTATAGAAAAAGTAGGTATTTTTAAAAGAATACGCAAAATGGTTACATATTTATACACTCAGAAAGTCAAAACACAGTAGATGGATATGAAATGTGATTCCTAGCATGATAACTTTTAAGCCTTTCCATTCTGAGTTTCGCAAGAACTAGACCACATCAGATTGGTAGTTGCAGGTTACATGTGCACAGCCATTTATAATAAATAATGAATTTATAATATACAATATTTTTTCAGTGTGGGAATATGGCCAGAGAAGGACTGAGAGTGCTGGTGGTCTCTAAGAAGTCTTTAACAGAGGAGCAGTATCAAGATTTTGAGGTGAGGCCATGTCTTAAGTCTGTACCTAGAAATTGTATTCACAGATGAATTTTGTTCTATATGTACTATGGTTACATCGTCAAGAATTATTGTCCTCGAGGATGGACAAATAGTGAAAGTACAATTTCTAGAGTGGGGTCAGCAAGAGAGAAATACGAAACATTATTACTTTACTTAACAGCTTATCCACATCAAGCTAATAGGAGCCTATCCCCGGAAGCATTGGGCACAAGGCGGGATACACTCTGGATGGGACGCTAGTCCATCGCAGGTCACAGACAGACACAAACGTACACACGTGCACACGGGGGCCAGTTTTCCCAGAAGAAAGTTAAATCTACCATGATGTCATTGATGTAGGAGGAAACCCACGCAAACAGAAGGAGAACAGACACGCCTCTATCTCCCGTAGTAATTGAACACATTGCCCCAGTGTTGCGAGGCAGCAAACCTCACCACTGCGCCACTGTGGTGCCCTATAAACAAACTACACTAGCATAATCATAAATAATGGCAGGGATAGCCCCTGAGAGATCATTTTAATTCTCTTTGGAAAAAGAAATAGTTACCTCCGGAATAAGAGTTAGTAAATTGCCTGCCTTTTGCGTATTGGCCCTTTCACATGGGTGGGGGCCTCTGTGTGTGGGACAATGTCAGTGCTCCTCTGAAAAAGATTATTATTCAGTTTAATCCCTGCAGGGGCTGGAGCGGCTCTACAGTGTGCAGTGTTAATTAAACATTCCTGGATTCAACAGCATGCAAATGTTTTTAAATCTGTTGTTGTTTTTTTTGCTGTGTGTGGAATTGTCAGAAAGCAGTTGTGATGAGTCATGGCTTCTAAGTGGGATGGCCCCACCTCAAAAACATGTTTCATTCAGCAAGGTCCCACGTCCTACTTCATAGGATTCCAAAAAAATCAAGCGTTTTTGCTAACCTTAAATGGTAATGCAAACGACTGCCTTTTCAACATCAACACAAAGACCCGCAAAGTGTCCCGCACTAATAAATGCCAGAAATGCATGATGCTTTTTTCCTCTTATTTCTCTGTGCCATTCAAAGGAGCTTCAGACCATTTTAGAACCGATTTAGAACCGAAATTCTCGGAGAAAGGTTGACCCCTTTGTGAAATTTCAGATTGATACAACCATGTAGAAAATACAATGTGTTCATGCAGATCACTATTAATGTGTATGTGCAGCTAACAGCAGCTTCACAGTGAGAAATTGCTGTACTCTTTACCTGTGAATAAAACTTGCGGACTTTTTCAGTGTCACAGCACAGCCACTGATGGTAAAAGAAACTGAATATATGATTTATGTTTTATCTGTCTATTAAGTCTCAACTTTTTAAAGGTTGGTCTATGGTCTAGCAGAATAGGTTGCCTTAGGTTTTTAATGAATTTGCTGTTCCCAAATTTCCTGCGTTTGCCATCTTGCAATATGAGACAGTGTTGGAAATACACATATTCTTATTAGTAAATCTTAGTAGTTTAATGTTATTAACCATTAGTTGATGAAATAAGAAGTTACAAGCACACAGTGGACATTCTGCCAGTCTGGGTCATATTGTTCTTAGCAGTAAATCAAGTCCAGAAACTTTATTTTGCTGGAAGGACACTGAAAGCTTGATATTTGTGCTTCTCACATCCTTACCACTGTGTACTGAATAAGTCAATCTTCAACATACACATAACTAGTTTTTGTATTCAGAGTTGTGATTAAAATAATGATGTCTATTGACATTGCCCCTGCCATGACTGTGTTTTACAAAACAATCATACTGCTTAAGATTTTTCAAAGGGAGGCTTCACAAAGCATCTCAATGTGGTCCTCGGATCAATAAGCCGCTACCACATGAATGTGCAAGATGGGCCAAATTCCGTTCAGAATTCGTCAATCGGTTTTCTTTGGATTAAGAACGTAGAATAAAATGACATTCAGCCCATCAAACCTTTGTGGTTTGCAGGAAGCTAATCAACACAAGGATCTGATTGATCTTATTCCAGACACCCATAACCCTTTGTAGAAAAATGTACCTTAAATCTGAAGACCTGAAAGCTGCTTTGTTTAATTTCCCACTTATGTTCTCTGTTCCTCCTTTCACTGTTGCACCTGAATTAGTCCTCTCACTTACCTTTGTCAGTAGATATAAGAACTTTAAATCCTTGTCTTCTTCTTTCAGGTGCAAATGATTTTTGGTCTTTTACCTATATGAAATGTCATTGTCAGGATCATTCTGGATCCTTTCCAAAGCAGCACTGTCTTGTTTATTAGCTAAAACTGACTGCGCTTTACTGAATGGGGTTATAATGGCTAAAATAATGGATTAAACAGGTTATGCTTTACCTTAAAACCCTGCTAAAGTGTGTAATCTATGTGTCACAATTTATGCACTTTAAAAGATAAGATAATAAAAAAGATAAGATCACTTTATTAGCCATATACAATTTCTTGCATTAGGAATTTGTCTTTTTGCATACCCCAGCTTGTTTTCCATGAGACACAGACACACAGACTGGGAGACAAGCCTGGGGTCAGGTTGCAGGGTCAGCCATTATAAAGTGCACCTGGAGCAGCTGGGGTTAAGGGCCTTGCTTAGGGGCCCAACGGAGTAGGATTCCTCTGCCGGCTGCGGGATTTGAACTGGCAACCTTCAGGCCACAGGCACAGATCCTTAGCGACAGTGCCACGGCTCCGCCCTAGGGGTGTACTAAGTTACTAAGATGAAACAGTACTGTAGATCTGGCTATTGAACTAATGCTTGTTGCAGTGCTTCATCGTTTTCTTTATATTCCCTTATATTAAATCAGGTTCATTTCATATGCCTTTAATATTCAACATTTTAAAAAGATGAACAGGGATGCGTTTTAGCATGTGCCTATTCATCCACACCACTTATCTTCACTGGAAAGAATACAATTAAAATAATAGCTGTATAAATGCAGAGAGTATTGTTAAAATTGAAATTATCAGCACTAGCTACAGTACAGCACATGGTCAAGAGGGATTTATACAGTATGTACTGTATTTCTCCACAGAAATATTTTTGACTTAAACCAGTATCGTGCTCTATTTAACACCATATATTTCTTCGGAAACATACAAGGTGCATTTTACTCAAAGAATCATCAGTTGGCAGTTGCAGTCATCCGTCTCACTGAAGACATTTTCAAACACGCTTGCAGAAACCTTAATGCTGGGTTATAATGCCAACTACAACTTCCCAGGCTGTGACCAAGCCAATGATAAGCAACAAAATGGGGATCTGCCTACACTTTCAATTCAATAAAGCTTTCTCATCTAAAATAAAGACATAGGACGTACATCCATAAATGGTATACAATTAAGTATGGTGACACTGACTACTTTATTTGTGCATCTGAGCACATTTTTAAACCTCCATTAGTTGGTTGACGACACTGATGATTCAATATAAACACCTTGGTCCTTTCCATAGATAGCCTGTTCTAGCTAAAATGCCACCCATTTAATATTTATTGTATTTATATTTCCTGACTGAAAGAACTCCTGTGTTAACGCCTGTTGTTTGCATCTGTACCATAACAGATATCTGTCTCAGCTGCTTGCCATATCAAAACACATCTTTGGTGTGGTTGTGTACTTAAATGCAAAATTATTTTAAGATCTCCATGTAGCCAGTGGTTCTGTTTACAGCCATTAAAATTAAACTCAAGGCTGGGTGTCCTTTTTGTGTCCTGGACAATTGATATACTGTATTATTGTGTCAAAGTGTGGGTGGATATGAGTCACCCAGTGAGTCAGAGAATGCTTTCCTCAGTGACTCACTCAAATTGTTTTGGTTTAATCTCACTTTTTTATATTTGGTTGATTCATCAATGTAGGTTTCAAGTTTTTTTTTTATGAAGTACTTTCACTGTGATCTTTTGCAAAACTTAAGCTGTAAAGCAAAGAAACAGCTACAGAAAACTAAAATCTTTGCATATCATACTTGTATAACAGTATTGCAATGCATATAATTCTAACTTCTGTTTGTTTTTCTGTCTCATGCCATGCATTTAAAATGACTAAAATTCTGCGTAAGACAGTATTGAGTCCTACAAATTTTTCACGAGGATTATCTTTCCTCTGTAGATTTTTAGGTGTGTGTGTAATCTAAAAAGTATTTTCTAGATGGCTGACATCTCAATTTATTTTTACTTCTGAAAACTGTATTTTTGTGCCTCTCAGTTTACAATAGGTTCTTGTTATGACTTATATATCAGTAGTTTAATGTTTCTACTGATGTATACACTTTTGAAATCTTTTAACATTATCGTCACTTAATTATCAATAAATCTATTTTAATTGCTTAAAAATAGGAACTCCTTAGTAAGGCAGAGCCAGCATGAAGCCTTATAGCTTGATGTCAGTGAAGCCAGGATGAGGTGAAGTGGACTGTAATCTTGTTAAAACCCTAAAGGATGAAACTTTTCTAAAATGATTTTTACAGGCCCGGTATGTGCAGGCCAAGCTGAGCGTTCACGACCGTTCCCTTAAGGTTGCCACGGTGATTGAGAGTCTGGAAATGGAGATGGAACTTCTGTGTCTGACTGGAGTGGAGGACCAGCTTCAGGCCGATGTGAGGCCTACTCTGGAAATGCTTCGCAATGCAGGGATTAAGGTGCGAAACTTCGGTTTGCTTGTTTTTTTTGGCCTGTCCACAGTACTAGTGAACATCTGTTGCATACAGATTTACCTGTTTACTTCCATCCAGTATCAAAGGGTTGATTACTCCTCGCATGGATTGTGCCAATCTGCAGTCCATCCCAAAAGCATAAGACAAAAGAGACTTAAGACCTATAGCACACTTTGGAGGGACAGCCGATGCATAGTGGGGTGTGTGAGTACTTGCACACACATGCGTGCATGCAGAGACAATCTACCTATTAACCTATGGAAGTACATGCAAACTCCATACATACATACAGTCACCCACTGTATAATTAAATCCAGGATGTCAGACAGACAGAGGCAGCAATCCTGACATCATCGTGCCAACCTATTTACTTGATTCTCACAAATGTGTAACCTTGTGCATGTTTTGTGATGCTGAGAACATCTTTGTTTTCAATTTAGAGGGTGAACATATGACTTTAGAATTCTCAGGATACTTTTCAATTGGACAGGTTTGGATGTTCTTGATTGAACTGATGACATTATTGCAGAAACACAATTTATGGCAATAATTAGTCATTTGCCAAGGTACAATGCTTCATTTCAGTGTCATGGAAATAATAATAATAATAAATAAATAATTGACATCTTTAGCAAAAATAGCCGTTATTAGCCCATATCCATTTATATTTTGTATTCATTATTGAAACTCTTAAACACACCGTTCAAAATGTGGTGCACTTTCCAACAGATGTTTATCCAAGACAGCCTTTAAAGCAATATTGTAATTCCACAATGATAACAAAATATTTGAGCTTAAATTATGATTTATAAGATGTCATATTCTCAGAATTGGACCTTTATACAGTATATTATAATAAAGAGCTTTATAATTGTGGAACCAGTTACAGCCAGAAACCTTTTTAGAAGGATATGTAGTAACTGCCTGTGAATTAAAAACTGAACCAGATGTTAAGCAAGAAAAGGAAACAATGTAGCACTTATCGTTTTTTACTAAAAAGAAACATTTGCTTGTATATTTCCTAGTAATTTTAGATATTTCTTACATGTTTACTCACCTATTAAAGCTGTGCATAGATTGCTAGTTTGTCGAAAGATAGACAAGATAAGAAGTTACTCAATGTAGACTAATTGATTGCACTAAGATAGGCAGATGACTGAATGTATTATTACCGTTAATTTATTGTTTGCTAAGCAGACACCCTTATCTAGGTTTAGGCTTAAGTTGAAGTGAGATTATTATTGGTCAGAAAAAAATAATATATGTGATATAAGAAACATACAAGTGGATCGGGGCAGCGTCAGCTGTACTGTGGGCACTGTACCGGTCTGTGATGGTGAAACGGGAGCTGAGTTTGAAGACTCAGTTACCGGTTGATCTACGTCCCTGTCCTCACCTATGGTCACAAGCTGTTGATAGTGACCGAAAGAACGAGATCGTGGATACAAGCGGCAGAATTGAGGTTTCTCCGCAGGGCAGCTGGGCAGACTCTCCGTGACAGGGCAAGGAGCTCGGCACTCTGGGAGAGCCTCAGAGCAGGGCCACCGCTCCTCTGGAGCGAGAGGAGACGGTTGAGGTGGTTTGGGCATTTTATAAGGATGCCCCCCCGGTTGGCTTCCACCGGAGGTGTTCCGGGCAGGTCCCACTGAGCGGAGACCCCGTGGCAAACCTGTTTATATCTCTCGACTGGCTTGGGAGCGCCTGGGGACCCCCCAGAAGGTGCTGGAATCTGTTGCCGGGGGCAGGAAAGTCTGGGCTGATCTACTCGGCCTGCTACAACCGCGACCCTCACCAGGAATAGCGGAGTGATGATGGATGGATAATGAAAAAAATTAATTCACACTTGTTGTTTCTTTAAATTCTTTTAAGTGTTTTTAACCCTGTACAAAGTGACCTGTCTACCATGGGTTAAACATTTCTGTAGCAAAACGGAAGACAGATTGAGCAAATAAATGTGTTCAGAAAATCAAGACTGAAATTTCTTTAAGTTTTGGTAATGACTGCATCATTGACTGTTTGAAAATTTAGAAATCGCAGCACCAAAGAGGTTCACTCAGCAAGAGGAGAAACAATAACTTTGAATATCAGAATCCATTTTTGATGTTCAAAAACAGAATAAAATTTGGTGCATTTCACTCTCACATCTTCATTTTCTGTATAGGTATGGATGCTCACTGGGGACAAACTAGAAACTGCAACCTGCACAGCAAAGAATGCACACCTTGTGACCAGGACCCAAGACATTCACACCTTCAGACCTGTAAGTTTGAAATGTTTCAAGTCAGATCTTCTTGACCAACATACAAGGAAAGGTACAGAGTACAAGCAGAAAACAGCAGTCTTGGTCACAGGTGCATTCTGCTGCTTGGTTTTGTGTTGGAGCTGATGCACATGGATCTATCAGTTATTTCATGGTTCTGCATGTGAGCTGGGCAACGATGCACAGTTCAAAAACAAAATAAAAAAGAGCCTCTAGGAAGGCACGCTACTCCAAATATCTCTCCCGTGTTACATTAACTGCACAAAATACACCATGTTGAGTTTCCATTTTTCAGAGTCCAGGTTCTTCAGTATAGATTCCCTTGACACACACACAAATTGAGTTACATCCATGATGAAGTGCAACTAAAAGCATGCCAATGCTTACAACAACAAAAAAACTGAAAAACCTATACATTTCGATATTATAAATACATGTGACAAAATGAGTTACAAGCATTTCTCAAAACATAATGTTCGCATTTCTACATAGTAGCTTGATTTTATTAACCCTCTTCTGGTTAAAACTTGGTAGTAGTCCCTGTCCTGTAGCCTTTAAAAAGGTCATTGCACTTCTCATGAGGTACATCAGTTAACTCCCTTGATGTGTAACCTCTTCAGCCTAGCTGATTTGTGCAATCTGCATTCTAGTAAAGACTGTGTTGACCAATCAAGACCACTGTTCCTGATGCTCCTGTAATCATGGGGTCATTTTGTTTGATGCAGGCTTTGTGATGTTATCTTATTGTCTAAACCTGAGTTTTTTGACAGAAGGCACAAGTTTTGGGCTAAAATATTCTATTTGGCTCAAACATTCTGGTTGGGAATTGTCTACTGCTCGCATCTAAAGAGAACACCAGACCAAGAGTTCGCAAAACAAGCCTACAGCTAAAGAGATCCATTTCTCTTCTTCACAGAAGGAGTCACATTCATTGTCATTGAGCTTCGCCTTAGTGGTCTAATCACCCTGCTGGTAGGACTGTCCAAGTCTTTAGTCTTTTGTTTCATCTGAGCACATCATGTGTTCCCTTTTGACTTGGGAGAGAAGTAGTTGCTATGGAGCAGGTTGATTTCTTTTTCTGTGATGCCATAGAGCTCTGCCACAGATCCCAGATTCATAAGGTCAACCTCAAATGTTAGTCTTGGGGACTTTGTATCCGGATGATGTCAAAAAAGCTTTCCAGTTGTAGCCCTAGGGCGTGAGCCATCCTCCCAAACCACTTTCATGTTTGTGCATTTGGGTAAAGTTGTGTACGTCCTCTACTTGGAGATGAATTTGGGAGTTAGCAATAGACCATATTAGTTTTGACCTTAATAATAATGGGCTCCGCAGTCACAACTGGGTTGCCTCAGGTTTTTTTTTTTACAGTGCTCACTATAGTTGTTGAGGCAGATAATTTGGACAGTTCTCCGACTTGCCCCAAAATAAGGTACTGGGTGATTTGCTTCTGGGTTCAACCTCCTCTAATGCTCAGTGGCCATGATTGACTTCAAGAAACTTCAAGAAGCTTTGTGGAACTACCAGATGAGTAAAACCTATTGGATAATTAAATCCACAGCATAATTTTTCAACATATTTTAATAGTAGATGGACATTGTGCATTTAGAATTATATGCCATTTTAAAGTTATCCTATTAATACCATGATCTTCTCTGGGACAAGACGATCGAAAATGGATACTGTTATATATTCAATACTCATGTTTCACAGTTTTAATTAATAAATGTTGCGAAGTCATGATGTATGGCATGATAGTCTTGGCTAAGTCAGCTTGCCGGTATGAGAAAATGTGGTGGCTGCTGCATCTGGATCTTGCGTATCCAGGTGGAGATGAATTGGCTGGCTAGAAAAAGTACAGAGCGGTAGCGGTAGTGGCAGTGGGAAAGGAATATTGGAGGAGAACGAGATCATCACTGGGCCACAGAAATACTGAAATGAATCCCAAGAGATGTGAAACACGTGAGGCGAAAGAAGAAAACCATGTGTCACATGGCAGGGTGAAATCAGTAAGCTTGCAGGAAAATACAATAAGGAAAGCCATGTTCATGGGAGAATCTTGGGGTAGCCCTCATTCAGAAGTGGGTCAGCAAAAGCTGGTGATGTCAGTGATGAAATTCTACAGTGTCGTTAGGTTCTTTGGAGCTTTCAGTCGCTGAACTGTGTTATTTCCTGAAGTAGTCCAGGCAGATATTTTTTTTCCCCCCGTCTTCAGCTGTCGATGGGTTTCAAAGCTGTGTGGCTCGCAGGTTTGTAGGATGGTCTGCAGACTTGGGGATTGTATTTTCCCCAAGACCTTCATGAACCCCTTCTTTGCTCATGTAACGGTCCTTGGGGTTTCCGCCCCTGCTGCTCCTCCCATGCCTGTTCGTCCCTCGCTGCCTGGGCATGAACCCGGGTCTGTGGCGTCGCACAGCAGGGAACTTGCTGGCTGAGCTAAAGGAGAGCTCCCCCAGCCCAGGTGGCTGAGATCCCTGTTATACGCAGGGGCGTATTCTTTACACTTTCCTAAACTACTTTCAGCAGGTAGAGAACAGGGGAACATGGAGCTATAGGAACAGTAACTGCACTGAAAACAATCAATCAGTAGGTAACAGAAGCTTATCATAGAGCACTTTGGGCCTTTCATTGCCTTTTTTGTTAGGACTTTCTGCTTCCAGTTTTTTTTTAATTCAAGGTTCCCCAATACTAGTCCTTGAAGGGCATATTCCAGCAGGTTTTCTCAGCCTCTTTAAGGTCTGAGGAAAATATTTTCTTGGACTGCATGAAGCTCAGTCAGACCATTACCTACATCAGCTAGCAAATTAAATTGAATGGGCCGTGCCCCTTGGGGAAAGGGTTTGGAGATGAAGCGGTTGTGCACCAAGAAAAAAATAAACAGCACTGAAATGGTAAAAAATAATAGCTTCCCTTTAAACAAACCTAATTGTCTTTAACATCCTGTGCAGAAGTTTTACAGAATTTTGTCGCTCATCGGTTGTGTATCTGATAGGATTGCTACCTTGCCTCTGCTCCATTTTTTTTTATCAGAATAAGTGAAATATGGCCCCCACTGCTAAATTTAGCAGTGGGCTGCGAGTCAAGAGGAAAAATATCTGAAATGGGCTCAGGGCAAATAAAGGAGAAGGTTGCTTCCTAATCTCTTTTGCAGACTTCTACCTGCACAATTGCTTTGATAGCTGCTCTAGCTTCCTTTTGGATTGTTGCCGTTTCGAAGAGAGTTGTCATGGAAGGTTACAGCTTGCGTAAGGAAAATTGGAGGTTCCTGGAAAAAGATAACAATGGCTGGCACAGTCTGGAAACAATGGCCTAGAGCTCCCCAGTGGGCATTAGTGGTGTGCAGAGCTCCCATGTCTGAATGTCAAGCATACTGTAGCTTCCCTGGTCTGTAGCAGTTCTCGCTGTGCTAAAAAAAAGTGTTTTACTTAACTGTGCTGCCTGAAAAAACTGTTTGATTTCTGAAAGGAAGATTTTGAGTGCAGCCTCCTGAAGAGTATGTGTGTGTGTGGATAACTAGAACATTTTTGTCGGGTCGAGTGATTACTTTTCATGCTTATTACAATTGCTCTGCAGTAACGCCCACCTGTTATTTGTAATGGGTGCTTTTTATGTTGTGCGTTGAACAATCTCAGAACATTATTTTCACCGGTATTCATAGTGAACAAAGTCATCAGGAACTGAAATCAAGAATGTTTCTGACTTTAGACAGCGGTGGGACACTTTTCTCTGATGCACATTTTCCACTGTGGATAGACACAGGCACTCTTTCACTGCATGTGTTTTATAAATTAGCTAATCGGCTAAGTACAGTCGACCTCAATGTTTTTGCATGTTGTAATTCATAATGGGGGTGATGGCCATGGTACGTGACTTTAAGCTCTTTTTCTAACCAGCTGATTTTGTGTCCTTCACTGTACAACCTGGCCCTTCTCTTCCACGACGGCCCTGTTTCTTCCTCGTCAGGTGACCACGCGGGGAGAGGCCCACCTGGAGCTGAACGCTTTCCGCCGGAAACACGACTGTGCTCTGGTCATATCTGGGGACTCTTTAGAGGTGGGCACGCGTGCGCAGGCCGGCACAAGTCTGCTCAGGTGTTTTACTTAGCGTAGGATTGCCACAGAGAAAAAACGCAACTGCAGCAGGTCTTCTCATTTCGTCTTGGTTACATGAAACCCCACAAAGACCAAATAATAAAAAGTGGGAAGGGATGTGTTTTCATCTCTGAATCCAGTTCTTTTTTAAAAAAAAACTGTAAGAGAGCAGGTAATGAAGTCATTTTAGGATATTCCAGAATTAAGCCAGTCTTAAGCTGTTTGCAAAATATGAGAATCTGTTAAGTTCTGTGCTTTATACAATCCTTATCAATACTGTTAACCTTAAATATTTTACTCATGTAATATTTGTAGGACACGCTAATGATTTCAGTAGAACCTGTCAAGCTCAGGGCCTCATAACTGTGCTTCTGGGCGGAAACAGGTGTGTCTGAAGTTCTACGAATACGAGTTCATGGAGCTGGCGTGCCAGTGCCCGGCAGTGGTGTGCTGCCGGTGTGCCCCCACACAGAAGGCCCAGATTGTCCGTCTGCTGCAGGAGCGCACAGGCAAGCTGACTTGCGCAGTGGGTGAGTCCTTGTACCTTCATTTACCGGTCAAAGGGCCAGCAGCCATATCATCCTGCAACTCCCAGGATGGCAACCCACTGAAGCTCAGCAGCTGTGAGCCTGGTCAGTACCTGGATGAGAGACCTCCTGGGAAAAACTAAGGTTGCTGCTGGAAGAGGTGTTAGTGGGGACAGTAGGGGGCCCTCATCCTATGGTCTGTGTGGGTCCTATTGCTAATGTGGACTCCTATTATTATTATTATTATTATTGAGAGATACCTGGGTGTGAAGAACTGTTGAGCTCAAACCAGACATACTCAGTAGCTTCGTCTTGTTCCCCAGGCAGAGTCTGTCCATTTAGAAGATCAATTCTGTACCATGTGTACAGAATTATGGGTACAAAAATGGGCATTACTTTATTTTTGCAGAAATTCTGTACGAGCAAGTCGATTTAGCAGAACTTCCCAGAACAGCAGAAATTTAAATTGGTTTCAGTATTATCATCAATACGGGTTATTTCCAAGCCTATTCTTTTATTTTAAACTTAAAAGTTATTCAGGACATGCCTGATTCTAACAATTTCCCTTTGTTTTAATGCTTAGGAGTGCATTAATTGTTGTTAGTACAATTGTTGGTTAGTCACCAACCCAGGGTTAACAGTTGAATATGTATTTTTATTTATTTTTTAGTGCTATCGTCACACATATGACAGGAAGTATGTCAACTGTTCATAAAGATAATTTCCTTTTTAATACCAGAATTTAATTATATACTCATTTTATACAAATACTTTATTTGTAAGATATACCAAATATATCTGCAAAATATCTGCAGGAAAGGTAACCATATTCACATGCACAGATAATATGTTTTAAATGAAAACCTTTTACAATAGTATCATTTGATTGTTAAAAAGACGCTGCATCCTTTTTGCAATATAACTTGCGTTCCACGTTGTTGCTAATTAAAATAAAAGAATAACCTTCTTGCATAACTTTAGTATAGGCAAGATGGTTTTAAAAATGATCTAATAATATGCCATTCGGAGAGCATTATCTCTTCATTTTCCAAAATTGTGAAATTTTAAATACAAACTGTTTTCCAAGTGTTCTGTTGTGAGGTACACGGTCTGGAGACAGTTTGATTACAATGTGTAATCAAACAGCTGAGCATAATTCTGATATGTTATTGATCTTCTTCATTGTAAAAGAAGGTTAATTTCTATTAGTGCACCCCTAACCTGACGATTGAGTCCCATGTGGTCACCTGTGATGTCTGATGTTGTCAACACTTTCATAAACTGAGGTTCACAACAACCCCTTTTTCTAGTAGTCAAGATCAAAAGGATTCAACATTTCCCACACCATTTCATTGAGTCAACCTGAGGCTCCTGAATTTAAAAAATGATATGTGTAACTGCGATGGCAGCTTTAAGAAAGACCATTATTTTATCTTTTCTTTAACTCCAATGCAGTGTGCAGTTTCAAGGTTGTAGACTACTTGGTAATTAAAACCACTCTTTTCCAGGAACAAATTAACACCTGAAAAATGATTAGAACATTGATTCAATTTTAGATTCCCATGCAGATATGTTGAATATATAACCAATTGACAAACTGACATGGATTAATAAAGAGCATTGGCAAAATGTATTTGTAACAAAATGCACACTGACCTGTTGAACATATCAAAACTGTAGGTCAGTAATGCTTTTTTTTATAAATAACTGAGGCTTTGTCTTTGGAAAATTACCCTCTGCTAACTCCTGTTGCTGTGCTAGTCCTGTTGTCATTCCATGTTGATTTCAGTGTATATGGTCGGTCAATCAGCAGATTGTGTTTAGCAGGAGATGTTAAAAACTGTCCTTGTTGACGGATGGGCATCTGTGGGACACAAACCCCCCCAGAAGTATAAAACTGCTGATTTCCTGATTGGTTCACAGGGGATGGAGGAAATGATGTCAGCATGATCCAGGAAGCAGACTGTGGCGTGGGAGTTGAAGGAAAAGTAAGAGCTAATATGACTGGATTTGGCCAATTCAAATGTGTGCTGTGTTTCCTGAAAAGTAACTCCAAAAACATATTTGCTTTGTGAGGAGGGAATGCGCTTGTAATGAAAAAAAAAATTGGTTGACTTCAATTAGCATATCCATATCTCATTCTTGCTTTAATATTAATTGAATAACATCATTCAGACTTGTTATTCTTCCGAGAGAAAACCGTATCATTTTATTGTTAGTGTACCGTTAGTCAGACAGTGTCAAGAGAACGCTGCACAACTGAAAAACCTCCAGATGGAAAAAAGAAAGCAAAACAAGTTGAAATACTGTGGTTTGCACTTTTGTTTTTTTTAAAGCTATAAACTTCAAGCTGCGTTGGCAGTAGCAGTATAAAATTTCAACTTTCGACCTACTTTATTACAGCTCTGCTGTTTGCAGAGGTTTGTTGAGCAAAAATAGGTTGCAGACCAGACCATAATATTTTGTTTTGTTTTTTTTTTTCTTTGCCCGGTGTTTTTCAGGAGGGAAAGCAGGCATCACTGGCTGCCGACTTCTCGGTGACTCAGTTCAAGCACTTGGGCAGATTGCTTATGGTTCACGGGCGGAACAGTTACAAGAGGTCAGCCGCCCTCAGCCAGTTCGTCATCCACAGGAGTCTGTGCATCAGTACCATGCAGGTAATCACTGCGTGACGGGGGCTGGCCGGGGTGGATCGGAGTACCCTGCCGCGGAGAAACTGGCAGCAGTGCAGCCACTGACTCATCGGTCTGCTGTGGGTTTGACCCACTGACCCGCCGAGGAATGTCTGAGTGGTTCCCCATGGCATTCTGCAAGTCTGTTGGTCATTGTGTTGCACATTCCGTCGGCTTTCTCGGTTGGGCCAAGCCACAGACAAAAAAACTCTTGTGCTAGGTCGGATTGGTTCTGGTGAAAGTTGCTTGTTAGGCTGCATTCGAAACGACACCCCTGTATATATGTTGCAGTTAATTGATTGACCTATGAGGTAACATATGCTGTAGGCCCTGCTTTACACTGCCTAACGTACATGTCATTACACTATGTTATCAGGTCCTTAAGATTTCTTGTGTTGTCAGGTGAAGATCTGGCTGACGTTGTGACCTTTCTGTCCCCTTTTCTTTTCCAGGCTGTATTCTCTTCAGTGTTTTACTTTGCCTCTGTCCCTCTCTACCAGGGGTTCCTCATTATCGGGTGAGCAGCTCCTGAGTGTCGAACCACAGTGATCAATACAGCTGCGTTCATTCAATCCTCACATGCCTGTTTGGACCAATCAGGGTTCTTCAAGATGCTGGTCACTGTGTTTTTTCTTTTTGCCTGCCTGAAATACCAGGTTGATTTTTTTCATTAGCAGCGGTTACATACAGTGATTTTGCATTTTAAATAATGCATCAGGCTTCACCTAAGAATTATCTGCAGCACATAAATTTTCAGCAGAAACTTCATTACTGAGCACAGCGCGATTCGTTTTATACTTTTTAAAAATACGTTGCAACTGAAGTTGCTCTTCTGTGTGCGGATAATGTCTGAATTTTCCACTGTAGGCAAAGAGCCCGTTTATTTAATTTACTACAGAGCTCTCAGTATGCCTACAGCAGAACACAAGAATAAAAACTTTGAAAACCATAAGACAAGACCTTTTCAGACTCCTGTTTAAAAAGTTAAGAAATGGGCCTAAATTTCCTTAGATTAAATGAACATAGTTTTTAGAAAAACTGATTGTTGAAGTAAAGCTTTCATGCCACAATGAGTTCATAGGTGTGTGATCTTGATCCATTGCATTCTGTTCATTCCTGTTTTCCAGTTACTCCACTCTGTACACAATGTTCCCTGTATTTTCTCTGGTTCTGGACAAGGATGTCAAGTCAGAAGTGGCGATGTTGTATCCCGAACTGTACAAGGATCTCTTGAAGGTATGTTCACGTTCTCAACCTGTGATGATAAATGATATAAATCTAAGTAAATGATTAATTCAGTTACATTCTGGAAAGTTCTGATGCAGGGAGATAATTGGAATTATGAGCATTTTGGGGACCAACATTGCTCTAAATCAGGGGTCAACAACTTTGACCTTTCTGATTCACTTTGTCATATATCTTTGTTCTGGCTGATCCCTCACTATGTACCTGATTTCTATCAACAGAGTCAGTTATGCAATAAAAAGGCCAACTAAACAATTAACATTCTGGTTGGATCAAAGTCCTGTAACGCCATGGACTGGAGACTGCCGGTTCCTTCACCAAATGTTCTGGTGTTGCAGTTTAGCTTACTTTTTCAACCCATCTCCAAGAAGTAACAATTCTGCTGTTTGAAGCTCCTGTTATATCAGTAAGAAATGGACAGTGATAAACAAGCAAGCTCATTGTCTTTCACTAACTGCCAAATTAACAAAGATAATGCCTCCTTATCCTATATAATTGCACTTATTGGACACCTCCTGCTAGTTAATTTGTTAGCTGGAGCAGGTTAGGACCAGAGAAAAAAATATCTTTGTTCATTTTCCATCTATTACTGGGTAATGAAAAAAATGACTAGTTCAAATAATGAAAATACTTTTTTTTACATAAAGGAGATTTTCTTTTGTTTTTTACTTTTAAACAGTTCACGGAGGAGTATAAGCTGTCATTTGGTGTAAAATCAGTTTTAGCCTTAGTTCAGTGGTGACAAACAAGTCTGCTCTAGGCTTGAGCACTCAGAATTCCAGCAGCAGTAGCTAAATGTCACCTTAAGCTCATATATTTGGCTGACTTAAATAAAAGTGCTTGGTAGTAGTGAAAACAGAACACCCTTTATCTCTCCCAAACTACATTTGGAGACCTGGGCTGTAGACCTTCATTATTATGCAGGAGGTGGTTTCTTCTCACAGACTACAGAGCGATTAAAGATTGCAGAATACCTTATTCTACTCATACTTTTTCATAGTGGTGATTCATGTGTTGCTTTGCTTGTATCTTTTCCAGGGCCGGCCACTGTCTTTCAAGACATTTTTAATATGGGTTTTAATAAGTATCTATCAAGGTAAGTCTATTACGTAGTCTTTTAGCCTTACGTTTGACTGAATTTTTGGTATTATAAAATATTTATGATGAATTGTGTAATAAACATTTTATTACAAATACGGTTTTAAAGTCTAACCTGAAGGCTCACTTAAATTAATATTATTTGCTATTCTTTGATTAATGTTAAAGCTTTTATATAACTGTTTTTTTTTTCATTCCACTTGTTGGAAATCCTACTGTGCTACGAATCACGTAACGTGGGTTCAAGTTCTGTGTTAACCTTGTGGGAGGTTACATAGCCTGTGATGACAGTGTGAAAGTAAGGTCTAAGCACAGCTTGTCTTTGGGTGATGAAAGGAAAGGTAGGCCACTGCTTGAAAAAGAAAAACAGACGCAGTCTGAGCTCGCCAAGAAATATACTTCACAGCTTCCGTTCTCATGCATCAATAAGGAAAGAAATGAAATTTAAACACACGTCGTAGTTTGTCCAGCAACAACACAGAAGTGTACTGGCTGAGAATCTCTTGCATCTACATTGATACAGTTAAAAACAAAGTAACCACTTCCTGCACACACTGTGCAAATTAACATGCAGTGCTTGCATGATCCCAAGGAAAGGTTTTTTTAAGAACAATATAGCAATAGAACATTATTACATTATTATATATGTAACAATTGGGTTTTAGGATTTTAATAATTAGGATATTGTGACAAAACTGCATGACAAAGAATAACAGACCTGAAGTTTCCAGGTTTGGACTATATATGTTTGTACTGAAGTCAATATAAACTGGAACTGGCATAAAGGATGATTTCGTCATCTTGTCTGTTGCTTTTTCTGTTCCTCTGGCAGGGATCAAGAGGTAAGAGGGGCTAGACATCAAAATTGTATTGTAGAAAATGGTCAGGATTTTAACCTTGGAAACAGTTAAATGCAGTTATGTTACTTAAGTAACTTAAGCAATATGTGGGGAAGAATTACATTTCATTTTAAGGGCTTCTTGCTGCTTGTTGACCGCAGTATATTAGACTCAATTTGTTTGATTCTAAGAGCAGGTAAATATTTCTTATTTTATTTTATGGACTTGGTATTTGAAGCTAGTGTCGGTAAGAAACAAGACGTAATAAACAATCAAGACCAATATCTTTCCCCAATGGACACATTTAGAGAACAGGTACTGCTGTTACACAGTGGTCTTGTAGCCTTTTTGTTCCCATTTTCTGAACACCAATAACTTCCTACATTTTCTGTTTGGTTTTAATTAATCTGCGCTCCTTTAATGCAAACGTGTAGTAAAGTCTGGCAGTTGGCTCTGATAATTCAACATATGTTATGTATAAAGTATGTATCACTCATGAATATTAAAAAGTCGTGTTCTCTACAAAAAGGAGCTTAAATGTATTTTAATAAGTTACAATGTGCTCCAATGAACGAAAGTGTTTGCTCCTTCGATTTTGCTCCTGATTTAGGGGTAATTTAGGGCACCATGTCTACTCCAGGCTTAAGCTGTATTGAAAAGAGTGTGCATTATTCCTGCAGGAGTCTAATGTGTTAAAGACAACGCAGCTCAATCCACCATGTAGAAAAGTAATGTAGTTTGCAGTGCATACAGCACAAAGTGCTTCATCATAAAGCAATGGAGTCATCTGCTGCATGAAATCTTATGACATTTGTTCTCAAATGGAAGAAGCACACACCTTTTCTTTCGCATTTAAATTGAAGCACACAATTTGTAAGTACGTAGTGCACATTATTTGCAGCTCTTAGACGGAGGCCACATTAACTGATCTACTTTTAAGATTATGAATTATTTTACTCCTGGTCGTCTTCATTGGGGTCCTGTGATGTCCGTTTATCAGGAAGCGCGATTGCTATCTGACTGATAATACATGTGCCTGCAAGGATGTGTGTTTTGAAAAGCTTTCCATTTGTTTCTTGCACTACAGGCCCAACACAGAAACCTCCCCTCGTTAAAAAATGAAAATGCTTTGCTCTCGCACTGAATGAGGACTCAGCAGCTAGTGTGTGGGTGTGTGAGAAGGGGAAAGGGATGTGTTAATCACCTTGAGTGCTGTCCTGGTAAATGGAAATTGACTGAAAACCAGTTCTGCAGTTATAACAACCTCCCCTGCCCCCCACCTATGCACTGAGACATCAGAAGACTCTGGCGAAGACTCTGCCTCTACTGTGGCTCTCCCACACACTTGTTATTCTTTTTTTTGTAATTATCAGCAGTTTTTCTGAGACTGGTTCAAAAGTTGTTGTTCTCAAAAGAACCAAACTGTTTTTTTTTTTTTTACAGTCATCCTTCAAAACAGGCTGTTTGTCCTTGGAGGTGTACCCAGTGCTATTCTAAATTATACCCCGAAATTTACTCAAGCTGCAAATGTACAGTACCACACCCTTCACCCTCCCCACCAGCCACCCCCTCACAGTTTCCTTTCGTTCCTAATTCTGTGTTAAGAAAGCTCGTTTTTCTGGATTTGTTTCTATTACAGGTGGACTCAAGCAAGGCTGTAAATTGGATTTGTTTCATATTGGACCTGAAAAAGTATTTAGCAGCTCTTGTGTTCAGCTGCCTCAGTTATCTTCGTTAATTTTGTGGTTGAAAAGCATGAAAATGATTGCTTTTTAAAACTAGTGGAGAGAATGCGAAGTCATGCTTTGAAACTAACTACAGTAGCAAGATGACTTGCAGAAGGTCAAGTTGGTGACAAACCGTTTAGAGTCACATGTCAAGAACTGTGAACAGGAAAAGTCGCTGACTAATGATGCTCAGACCTTGCAGACAGAAATTAGATTAGATTCTTTCCTTTAACTGTTTTATTCTCTGTCATGTCACTAGCTGACCGTAACCAGGATTCCCCAGGCTGTTTTGGCAGAGCCCAAATGGGAGGGTAGGGCAGGGATTAGTCATCCAGGTTTTCAGAGAACAGACAATCGTGTTACTTGCCAGGCTTGCAGTGATGTCAGTGAGAGACATGCTGCTCTCCTGTCAGGTGCAGTGGAGCTTGTAGTCTGTCAAAAGCTCAGTGGTTGAGTAGCTGTAGAATTAATTCAGGGTTGTGGGGGAGTCTGAGCCTATCTCGGCAAGAATAGAGGATAGACACTGGACAGGATGCCAAGCCATCGAGGGGCACACATAGACACAGAAACGCACACTTTCACACCAAGGGCATTTTACTCAGAAGTTAATTAATGTACCAGTGTGTCTTTGGACTGTGGGAGGAAACCCACGCAAACATGGGGAGAACAGGGTTGGAACATGTAAAAAATTTGTTTCCTGAAGATTTAGTTCTAAAAATATATTTTCCATTCATTATCTCTCCCTTCTTACCCCTTTTTTTTTTTAACTCACCAAAGTAGTATTGCTGCTATGATCCTCTTACATACCATTATGGGGGAGGATGAGGGTTGTACCACCTGTCCACTGGCATGTGCATGTGTCCCAACCATCCAGAACTTGTCATGCTGTGCAACTTCAACACCCCCGCAGGAGAAGTGGGAGAGCCCTCACTGGCAACCATTGTACAGCAATCCAGGATTGTCCTTTGCTGCCTCAAGCCATGAAGTGATGCCACACTTGAACAGTTGTGTACCACTGCTTGGGGAATTCCAGCTGAAGTTGCCTAGTGTTACAGATCATTTTTTGAGAGATATACATATTACTGCCTTTTCTGTATCATCGCGATCAGTCAGTCTTGAAATCATGTAAAGATTGTCTGTAGCTGAAGTACAAACGCGAGATTAGAAGAATCATGAAAATCCATTAACATCACAGAAACGCATCAGCTTTCTATTTACTTTTTTGATGGATTCCACTGTGGAAGGAAGGTTTGGGAAAGTATGGAATATTTCAGCAAAGTGTGACTTGCTCTTCCTCAGATTCTCTGGGTTCTTACTGGATCATCGCCTGGGGAGATATCCTTGTGTGGGAACATGACTTTAGAGTCCCAGAAAGCAGGGCTATGGGGGACAATCATTTGATTGTCTTGTGGCTGTGTTATTGGGATCTTGGCTTGAGATCAACACCTGTGTTCTTCCTCTGTGTGTGTGTGTGTCTCGATTCCCCCAGGGAGCATCATCATGTATGGCGCGCTGCTGCTGTTTGAGTCAGAGTTCGTGCACATTGTGGCCATCTCCTTCACTTCGCTGATCCTCACTGAGTTGCTCATGGTGGCCCTCACCATCCAGACCTGGCACTGGCTGATGATCGTAGCCGAGCTGCTCAGCCTGGCCTGCTACATCGCCTCCCTCGTCTTCCTGCATGAGTTCATTGGTAAGTTTCCCAGCTCTCCAGCAGCCCTGAGAAGACTGCATTGCGTTTCGTCTTTATCTGGGGATCTCCTGTGCTTCTGGACGCATTTTCTAGTTGAGCTGCTACCAATGCAGATGTGTGTTTATGCCTTTGTTATACAGCTCTTGCATCACACATTCCCATTTAAAGCGAATGATCCACTGTTTTTTTATGCAGATAATCTGATTGCCTGCTTTACCTTATTGATGTGGCAGTATTGCTAAGGCATAGAAGTAAAGCTCATTGGTGTAACATTATATTTTATATAGGAAAGTGGAGTAGCTTTCTTCTGAACTAAATGAGATAGTTTAGGTTTAACATAGTTGTTAACACTAGTCAATCCTAGTGGGTAGTTAAAATGTTCTTTTAAATTAAAAAAAAGGATGTGGCATATCAGTACAAATATCTGGAGCCTAATATGAGTTTGTGGCATTTTTACAGTGAAACAGACCACTGTCTGCTGGGATAAGAATTTTTTTAAATTGAATTCAGAGAATTGCGCTTGTACAGTCTAACTGTAAAGACTTGTGTTGAAGAAATTGGTAGTCTTCCAGTGGAAGATTAACAACTGAAAAAATAAGAGAAAATGGCAAATGGGCATATAGGCACTATATTTCTCACTTGACTGTGTCAAGTTTTAAGATTTAGAGTTTGAAATAAAACTTCTGTGCATGGTAATTCCTGAACTCTTCTGAAAGAGTTTTTTTTTTTCCCCAGATAGTTCACTCCATAATGAAACTCAATCATATGGACCAATATTTATTACACTCCAGCGTATTTATGTCTGGATCGAGAAATTGAGTTGGAGAGGAGAAATTGAGGCTTGCCTTTTAATATGACGAACATTAGCAAATATTAGCACTTATTTATTTGATTTATGATCCTGTTGTCCTGCATTTTTATCATGTAACTCATCAGAAGGGAAGTATTTAAGGTCCATTCTCTTAAATCTGTGAATGCTTTAAATGCCTGTAGTGTTAGTTTGTCCCCTGTGTTGTTGGATTGAACTGTAATTTGGAGGTCTGACGTTGAATAGAATATTAAAGGGGAAATTCCTCAGTGTGATCTTAATTTCCTGCCTTGTAGATCTAATATTGCCAAGGCCATTGTGTTTATCAGAGAAGCAAAAAGCACCTCTCGAGAATTATAATAAAAAAGGTCAACATACTAATTATAATTTTTTCTTTTTTTTTCTTGAGTTTCTTGAATTTGGTGATTTCTGTGACTCAAACTGTCACACTGCATTCTCTTTCATTAAAAAACTCTTTTTAAAAAGTGTTTTTTTATTTTTTTTTATATTTCTTAATAATACAATACTTACAGTATTTTTGATTTCTTTTCCCTTTATTTCCCTACAAATGTTATTAACTATATATAGGTGCCGGACCCTACTTTGGCCGGATCCAGTAAATACTTTTGTGTATTTTAATAATCCTTGTTTTCTTCCAGTGTGTTTTAGCTTTATGTTTCAACACTGAACAGATGATTTGCTTGAAAGATTTGCTTGTGATAAATCAAGGTCTGTTACACACCCCTGTGAGTCAGCCCCTCTTAATTCTGTTTCACTGCTGTTTTGCCCCAACGCTTAATCAAATTTTCTTTGGATTAAAATCAAAATCTTTCAGTGCACATGAGTCCAGCCCAGTCGATAAAGCTTGAAAACTTTAGTTTTCTTTTTACGACATAAAGAGGTTTAATTTCAAGGTGACAGTGGTGATGAGGATGATCCCAATCCGGAAACTCTTTAAGTGAAAAAGTCTGAAATGCCACCAGCATAAAGAAAATGGCCTTCAGATTGAATAGGCTTCCCATGAGTACAGTCTAGTCTCCAATATAAACCACATTCTATATTCGAGATGGAATGCAAGTATACATTTGCCCACTGAGAGCAAAACTGCTGTTAAGCACAATGGGGAATGTAGTATGTTTTTGTTTGTTTTTAGAATCTTTACAATCTGCTTTCTATTTTTTAATCGTATGCTACTGGAAGAGTCTTGATTGAGTGACTTTGTTGAATGCTGTTTTGTATTATGGTATTGTACTGTGGTTGTATTGTGTAATTGTTGAACAGGTTATGTTTATGAGCGCTTGATGTGCAAAGGGAATTCCCTTAGGGTAAATAAAGGTTAATTCATTCAATTCCACATTGAGTGACCAAGGCAGCATTCTATAACCTTTTGAGTGTGGAATGCCAAAGGTCAGCCTGTCTCTCAAATCCAGATCGACTGCAGATGTGTTCTTTTAGATTGCTCTACGAGTGAGTTTTTGCAGATCCCATCCGCAATGTCATACTTTAGATGGGGGACGAACCATTGATATTTAATTATTGATTAGGATTAAGTAATGTAGCCCTTATTGATGTGTTACTAATGCAGTTAATGAATTAGGGGACGCTCAGTTCCTTTTGATGGATTTAAAATCCTGTGATACACAATGGGGGCATGCCTTTAATATGAGCTTTCAGCGTTAAAGCAAGAGCAGTACTCAGCATCACCTTTGTAACCACATCTAGCACAAAGGGAGAAACACATGAATTCAGTTTAAAAATAAGAGTATCAAGAAGAAAATACTTTCCTGCTGATTGAAGTACAGTATTTCTCTGTGCAGGAGTGTACCAGCACAAAAGCTTTGGGAAAGAGTTTACAGTGGGGCTAGAAACTGGACCGTTTTGGTACCAACACATTATCATTGTAAATCTGCACAACCTGTCGTCCAAAATTTGAGAATAAACCCTGGCGACAAGCAAGTGCTCAAAAAGAAAGACTGTTTGGCAAACCACGCACTCCAGGCATCAGATGATTTTAGAATTAATTATCTTTAAAAACTGAGCTCCAAAATAATATAAACTAAATACACACGGGATGATCATACTATTAAGGAAATAAAGTTACTGTTACTTTAAGAAGCCCTGTAGTTAACCATGCTGTCCATGAAGGATGTAGTCTAATTTTTTTTCTATGAATAATACATTTTATACGCAATTTTCAATGAAAGCCCAGTGAATCCTAGACATCATTATTCATACTTGCATTAAGCAATAGCTAAGGGGGGTATTTATCATTTTTTCTTTTTAAAATTTTGACTTCATTGTTGCTCACCGGTCAAGCTTGTGGTTAAAAAATATTGTAAAATGTTGACCCTGTTTCAAAAAGATGGTAACCACCAGCTTTACAGAATTTCACGATAAACTCCGTAACTACTCAAGCATTCTACAGATTGCGATACAATTTGACATTTTCATTGTTTTTGTAAACCATCACTAGATTATTAGTCCATTTTCATTTAATTTGCTTTCCCTGGGTTTCTTTTCTATTTTTGAGTTCAGTTGTAGCCAATGTTCTTTCAAAAGCTGCCTTTTCTTATTGGCTTCTGTAGTGTGATTTGTCTGTGGCACGTTTTTCCTGCTATGAAAAAAAACAAACAAGACACATGTTGTCTGAACTTGATCTTTGTCAGGAGCGTGTGTCACACATTTGGTGAATCAGGTCTGACCTTTAAGCTCACAAATGTTCTGTGTGTCCTTTCATCAAAGGGGAGCTGTTTGAAATGTCGCTAACAGTTAAGCAAAGATCATTCATGCCTTATAATATCAACCTTTGAAAATTGATTTAGTCAAGATTTGATGTGCACCAAAATACAGGCCCATGGTGCTGATTTGATTTCTAATGGAATTTATCACAGATAATGGATCATTTAACCTCCTCTTTTCTTCTGCTAAAGTGAACACGAGTCATTTATCATTATTTAAGAAAAGCATAATAATAATAATAATAAACTTTAGTTTATATAGCGCCTTTAAAGGTGGCTTCTCAAAGCGCTTAGATAGATGGTTCAGGAAGTTTTGTGACTGACTTACCTATGCACACCGATAACTAATCATTTGAAACAGATCTTCTTTATTTTTTAATTTCATTCGATATGAAACTAAGTCAAAACTAAAAACGCATCTGGCCACGTCTTGGAATTGAATTTGGAATCGGTGTCTTCTTGGGATATGGAATCCTGCCCAGGCAGCTTTTTCCCAGATGGAGGAGCAGGAGGAACTGAGAGGAGGTTGATCCAAGATTCCTCCTCTATAAAGATGAACGAGGGCCAGGCTTTTGTGAAGTCCTGTGTCTTTTGTCATTTGCAGCGATGTCCTCCTTTTCCTTTACCCTGTAATGTGGGGCACATTAAATTCACCCATTAAACTGGAACATCTATAATCTGCCTAGTAGTGCTGTTGTCTAGGATTCGTTTTGGTTGTACATATAACAAAATGAGCTTAATATCTGTTAGCAGAGATCTTAATTGTAAGAAGTAAGCCTGTGGCTGTATACTTTCTATTCAGCTTTTGACTTTTTTTAAATTTTTATTCTGAAGAGCCGTGATGAGCATTTGTGGTCTTTGTCTCTTGCCACAGATGTCTACTTCATTGCCACCTTATCGTTTGTGTGGAAGGTGACGGTCATCACGCTGGTGAGCTGCCTGCCTCTCTACATTCTCAAATACCTGAGGAGACGATTCTCCCCACCCAGCTACTCCAAGCTCACCTCTTAACGCTGTTCGAGTTCAGGTTCTGCCCGGTGCTGAAGACGCTTGCCTTGAGGAATCCTTGGAGAAAGTTCAACTGAGGCCATGCTTTGGTGTCTACCGATGCGCCTTGGTGGTTTTCTTTTGCAAATGTCGGCTCATTTGGGAACAGGGAACTTTGGAGGACAGGTGAAAAATGTAGAGGTGAACTTTAAACTTATATGGGATACATGTGTTTCAGATGTGATTTGTGCCATCTTGATAGCCTGGTACTGACACTTTGGGCTCCTGTGTTTGAAGACTCCACTCGAGTGAGGTGTAAGGTCTATGACTTCTTCACACGGTGATGACATGAGAAAGGTTCCTTTTCTCTCTGAAGCTATTCAAACCCTCACACTCAACATAGCCTTTTCAGTTATGTTTTACCAGGAATAAACTTTTTTTAAAAGCAAGGCACAACCCCAAAAAAATATTTTGTTATGTTTGTGGGCTGATAAAGCTCTCAACAAATAAACCTTTTCAACTTACTTTTTCCTTGGTTTATTATCTGTCCCGTATGAATTTGACAAATGTACGTTTTAATGATGAAAGGAATAAGGAGGCTTGATAAAAAGTTATTTTTTTCTTGTTGTGGTGTTGATTTTGCAAACTTTCAGTTGGAAACCTGAGTTGAAGGTACTCTGTCTTGAAAATCAGTTAGGCTTTTGAAGCTGTGGAACTTTTTCTTTTTAAAAACAGTTATTTAAAATAGGGAAAAAACAGTGAACAAAACATTTTAGTCAGTCTCTTAATTCCTTGAAGGAGATGCTAAGAAAGGTAGATTTGAGTGGTTTCTATAAATTTAATTCTCTGTCATTGCACAGGAAGAAGTCATATGCATTACATCATTTCCTTTGTGGTGATCATTTATACTTTTTCATTTTTGCACAGAATGTTGAATTCAAGATGGTGTACTGTATGTAAATTCCTGCCAATTATCCATGCATTAAAGGATTTGCATTGTATTTATCACATTGAAGATGATCCAGATAGATATTGAATAATATATTAATGTACTTAAAGTTTTGTGAGACAATATATCAAATATATCAAAATTTTTTTTTTATTTTCCCAACAAAAACCTCTGCATTCACTTACAAGGACATAAGCTCTTGTCAATTAATTATTAAACACAGCAGATACCTGGAAACAAACATCTGAAAAACCTTTTAGCTTTTAAAATCAAATCTTACAATGGTGCAACAGTGAGAAACCATGAATAGCTTCAGAAAAGTGAATTAATTGCTTTTCTTTTCAGCAATCTTGCTGACGTGCATCCTGTGCTATCTTTCCTTGAGGGTGTATGCAAGCTTTTGTTTTTGCAACAAAAATAACCAGAAAGCTCACAGAAAGTGTTCTGCAAGCTTATGACGACAGTGTCCCAAAAAGGGAATGCAATGCAGGAGAAAGTGCAACACTGAAAGTGGACTTCATTGTGAAACTAATATAAGTAAACCTCAGACTTAAGTAGAATATAGTGAATTACTGGCAATAAATTTATGACCCTAGGCAACTGGCTTTGCAAGGCCTGATCCTGTCAGGGGGAACCCTTTTCCAGGATTGTAATGGGTTTTGGCTGCAAGCCTCGGTCATAAACAGCGCTGAACAAAAGCTTCGGGTTTTCTGCTGTGCTGTGGGTTGTAATTGCCTCGTCATTCCGCCTTACTTTGCAAATGGATAACATATGGAGTGCCACTGAAGATGAAGATGTGGAATATCTTGCGTTAGAGTGAGAGGGGTGTCTTTCAAATTCATTGTAAAGCGGCTGGCTAAACTGTGAGCCTGCCAGGGATTTCAAAGTGAATGACCATTTTTCTTTTAAGAGGGACAGTGGCCTGTGCCATTTAAGCCAGCTTGGATGGTCCTCAACAAGACCGTCTCCAGTCTATCCGAGATGTGCAGCCACCTCATCCAAATATCTGCTCCAGCCCCTGCAATAGAATGGCCTGGTCTGTTTCTCTTCTTATTCTGTTTTATTTTATCCCTATTTTTTAAACTAACTTTATGATGACGTCAGGGCCATTCTCAAATCCGTGAATAGCATCAATTAAACGGACCTCTTTGGAGGACATGAGCAAACCACGGGAGAATGCAATGCTTTCTGTCTCAAAAGATTGTTTTCGATTTGAAATTGAAATGCTTTTTGACCATTATGGGCGTTCCTTGTCTTATTGGGTTGCCAAGTAATTTAAATATTAAATATTAAATTGTCATTTAACGGTGATCAAAACCCTAAGAAAGCATAGGTTTTGAAATATGCAAGTTTACAGTGTTGTGTCCAAAAAAGCACATTTGTTAAAAGGCTCAGTATCGGTAGTGTGTATCAATAAGGAAAGAGGAAGGTCTAACAGAACCAACAAAGATAATTTAAAAGGTGTTCTGCAGGCAGTTAAGATGACATATTGTAGCTCTGTTTAGTTTAAATGCAGTGGTTGATTTTGTTGATATGTATAGTTTATATATTAAATATAACTTCTTATTGTTTACGCTTCATTTTTAGATAAAACATTATTCCTTCTCACACCATTGGTTATTTATTTTTATGGTGTTATCTCCTAAAGGACTGAAAAAAAGCACTTTTAGAATTTCCAAATGAAACTTGAAACATTCTGACTAGACAGCGATTTTGCTAAAATCAAAAAAGCTCAGTACACTGCATGGGAGAATATCAAATATTCCACTGGGCATTTAGTGCAACATCAGGTGTTGGCGTACAAGACTTGCTCTTACAAAGGGTAACTTTAGTATACACAGCGTTCACTTTTCCCCACATTGTTTTTGCTCAGAGAAAACCCCTATTTCGAATACAGTTTTAATAAAACTGTACTTCATGCGACCTGTGGCTGCAATGGTCCGATTATGACTATTGCAGTTTTGGGGTGTTTTTTGCATGGTGATGCTAAGGGTGATCTTGAATTCCTTTCCTTCTAGAGGGCCTGGGGACAGATGGTATTGTTCATAGCAAAACTGTTGTCCTTGATCCAGATGTGCTTCATGCAGCTGTTTTGGAGCCTTTGTCCGTGCCTTGTGGCTCCTTGTGATGTGCATGTTAGCCATACTGCAGTAGTGCATGATTCAGTAGATGTGGCATGTGGGAGGTTGTAACTGCAATTATTCTGTTTATGGTTATGATAATGCCCCCACCCCCAGCTACTAGTACTTTTCAGCCAAAAGAAACAAGGAATGGTAACTTCATAATCACCTTTCATCTCTTAGGGGCGGTAGATTGAATCATCACTTTGTGTGCTGTTCTCTAGAAGTTTCTGCACCCAGAGACTCACATTTGCCAAAATGGTAAAAGGTCTGACAGATTTATTTAGGTGGGAAAATGAATATTTGACGGTTATTTGCTCCTTTCCTTTGGAGGAAAGCAGATCTGTACGTGAATGAATATTGTTCTCAGCGTATTGTATCTAAGCTTTTAAAAATGTACACCTAAAAGTTGCTCTTGTCCATACCGTGGGCACTTTCTGTGAACTTTACACTAAGGGATGATGTAAATAACCGAACAAAAAGGAAAAATGTGTATGCACTTTTTGTGAATAGTAGAATACTGTACGTTTCAAGACAAAATGTTTATTGCTCTCAAAGTTTGATGAGATCTCCTCTAAAGTTGAACTTAAGTGTCTCTGAGCCACCTTCTTATTTTTTTAGAACATTTTTTTTTCAAAACCAGAGAGTCTTCACTTGGCAAGTGGGGGGTTGTATTTTGTTTTTGAAAGGACGTCTTCTTGTCTCTCTGTTCCTGTTCTTAGTGTGGACACAGGCTTTCAAGATCTAGGTTGTGCCAATGTTTCAATGTAAACCTTGTGTCTGAATGAAATATGTTCTCTGTGTTGTTGTTTTTTTAATACTATTAAGGTGGAGTGAACTGCTCAGATGTAAATACTATTTGGCCTTTATTTATTATTGTTGTGTTGTTGTTAATTGCATAAAAAAGACAGATAAAAAAGTGATTGTATTAATGAGTAATGGTAATAAATTAATTTGACGTTTTTCTTGTATTTTACCCTGCATCATAGATTCATTTTAAATGTTTGAATATTTCTCCCCATGTCTTAAGAGTGTGGATGGCCAGTTAACCTACCAGTATGTCTTTGGACTGTGGGAAGAAACTGGACCCTTATGATTATGAAAACACTAAGACTTACACCAGCCCTTTTAGTCATTATACTACACTTTCACCCAGACTGATGTTAAAAGCGTCATTGCTCACCAAGTGAACTTTTGTTTCTTTTATCCCGTTTGACGCCAGCTAGTTTCCAAGAGGAAGTTACCTGTGAACGTATCAGTCTTATGTCTCACTGGACCTAATTCCTTCAATCTCTTTTTGCAAAGTGTAAAAAATGTCTGTTTGTACATAAGGTTGCTGTGTTCCTGTTGATTTCATAGGGCTCTTTCAGTCATCTCCTGATTTTCCTGGAGAACACAGGTGACTTGACTTCTATTGCAATTCCGTTGTCAGATTTCCTTTCATGTATGTTAACCAAATTGCTGTCACTCAAGGCTAAAGCAGGTGAGATGGATTGTTTGACCAGCAGGTGGAGCTAGGGCACTGATGTCCATTGAACTATGCACATCTTTCAGTTTGGGCTGCTAGAAAATATTTTTCTTTCACAGGTAAGTAAGTGTAAAATAAGAGTTATTTATTACATGTATCAAATATTTTTCTTATTTATCTTTTTCCCAAAATATTTAAAGATGTTTCAGTGAGCATAAAACAAAAATATTTTGGGTCACTTCACACAGGTTTGTTCCGTCAGATTTTGCCTTTGATAAATGCTTTATATCCTGTGCTCTCTTTTATAGATTAGAGTGTATGACTAGAATTATTGGTGTATTTATACTAACATATTTTTTTCTCATTTTCATTCATTCCATGTCTGTCATTAACTTACCAGACGACAAGTAACTGAAGAAACTGAACTGTCCCTTTCCACAGTGACAGAACCAAAATTAACGAACACAGCAGCCTCAATACGGGGCAGTTTCCACAGCCCAGAACTAACAGCTGAGTCAGAATGATTTCCTTAAAAAAGTGCATTAGCTTAACTTTCATAGAGGGAATAACTGTTTGCTGATGTTGGTTGTTTTAGTCCCTTTAAGGCAAAACAATGCTGAGAGCTGGAAGATGTTTTGTTTCTGGATACAAAAGAACTTCTGTTCTTGCAATAACAGCTGTATTAATGCAAAGTCTTGACAGTTTTTTGTTTGTGTGGCACAACACCATGTACACACAAACACAGCTGTATTTGGTGGTCTGGAGTTCTGCCTCCTTCCTAAAGCCATAATACAGAAGGCTGGTTTGTTTCTCCAGAAGTTTTTAATGTGCTACAATCTCTCCTAACAAAACACTAATCAAGTGCTCCCAATTCTGTCAGTTTACTCTGGACTATGTCTGGAGGGCTTTGCCCAGAATAGAAAGGTTCTCTTATTATTTGTAACCTTTCTATCCATTATGATCATTTGACCACTGGGCATTTAATGATAAAAATCCGATATCTTCAGCAATATGGTTCTGAAGTTTGTTCCAGACTCCCACAATCCAACAATGAGTCTACTGTTTCCTGTCCTGAATATCAGGATACTGAACCCCTGAGTCAGGTCCCCATGTAGTCATCTGTATTCTGGGCTAAAATGTCTCAGTGGAATTTCTGCTCACAAGTTATACTTGGGCATCCTAGAACCTTAGGTACTATGGGCTGTTTTGCTCTTAATTTTTTTTCTTGTAACCACTTTACTTTTTAGTAGTGCTTGCACTTTTTTAATTTGGTCCGGCTGAAAACCTGTCAGGATGCTGCGTGAGGCCCAGATACATATTTTTGCTTTGTTAAAATCTAAACTGCATTTGTTACGGTTTAGTTGGATTACTGTCTGATGGTGCAACAGCGTGACCGATTGGTTTCTTTCGTCTCCAGGACCTGTTTGCTCAGACCCCCTTTTTTTGTAGCAGCACCAATTCTTTTTTGCAAGGTCTGATATTCTGTTTTCCACTTTCAAGATTTGTTGAAAAATGTCCTGCTTGATGTGGTGAAAGGGAGCGACCAACAAAGAGCTTGGAACACAAAGAAGTGCTACCGCAAGGCAACGGCGCGTCTGTTTTTGAGTTGGGTTTAGCCATTAGCACAATAAACTTCTATCTCTTTTATCTTTATCTTTTTTTTTTGGGGTGGCTGTCTTTGTAGTGCTCGAAACATCCTTATGCACATCAACAGCACAAAACAGTTTTATATTGCATAAGAAGGAACCCCTGTTGCACAAGGTATGATTGATTCATTTGCAGTAAAAACATTTAACACTGCACAAACGTTAGAAAACATCCATCCATTTTCTAGCTGCTTCTTACAGTTCAGGATGGAAGGGAGCCAAAGCCTGTCCTGGCAAGCAGTGGGTACAAGGCAGGCTACACCCTGGACCGGACGCCAGTCCATTGCAGGGCACAAACAGAGCCACAGCCTTGCACACACTTGCACAAGGGCCAATTTTCCCAGAATCCAATTAACCTACCTGTATGTTGTGGGACTTTGGGAGGAAATTGAAGCTCTAGCAGAAAACGCACAAGGACACAGGGAAAACACATGAACTCCACAAAGACAGCACCTCAGAAATCCACAGAGTTGCAAGGCAGCAATGCTAACCCCCTGTACTACTGTGCTGCCCTGGAGTGAACAAACATCACAAAATCATGACATGACTAACGCTGTACACAGCTGGGAGTCTCACCGATGCCTGCACATTTTAAAATCTTCTCAAGTTAAGTGCCTCAATTAGTCCAATATTAGCTACAGTATAACCCTTTTAAATATTATTCTGCATTACTGTTGCATAAGAAAACATCTCTTTAAGGGTTATCTGATCATGAATCCTCAGCTTTCTGTTGTGCTACAGATACCACTTGCCCTTTAATTCTTCACCTTTATCAGCACAGAACAAAAAAGATCTTCTGTGATTAATTAACATTCGTATTTCGTAAATTAACAGAATGTGTATATTGACTGCAGACATTTTTCTTTTTGGTGCCGTGTATTAAGTTTGTATGTTATTTGTTTACTGTCCCTTTAACAAACTAAGCAGACAACACTGAGTTTTTTTTTTCAGAGAATCCCCCCAATATTTACCTTGACAATGGAACACAACAGTAAAACTGCAGGTCCTGACTTTTCCTAAGCTGAGCGGTGTGCACCATTTTATTCTGTTTGGAATTAATACCTGGCCTCAATTCAAAAGCACTAACAAACACATCGTGGAGACAAATACTGTACGAGACCTAATGTAAAAACATATTCTTTCCAAGCTCTTGTTGTTATCGCTCCATGGCATGAATACATTCTTAGAAAAATAATCACTTTCCTGAAGCTTGTTGTAATGTAACATGTTGTTAATCTGTCCCATAAAAGCTATAATATCCAAATTAGAATGAGCCCCATAAATCAGTTAAATTCCACTCCTGGGGTTTCAAAGCAATCAGTCTTTTCAGTGGAACTGCATTAATTTGTGTAACAAGTGGAATTATGACCTTATAATGTAACATTTGTCAATAAAGAGAGATGATAATTTTCTTAATCCTCATATTTTGGAAAATTCACATCTGCATGGTAAATGAAAACCATTTATTTTTTTCCAGATTTTAGGAAAAAAGAATGTAATTATGCAATATACTTTGTACACCAAAGTATGCCTGTGTCTTGTTGGCACATGCTGTTTGCTTAGAAAGGGCTGGGAAGATAGAAACTTTGCCGTCGGTTTTAGATGTAAAAGTTTAGTTTTAAAGAAGAAAATCACGTCATCTTCTTCCAAGGCTTAAATGTCTTAAAAGCTTTGAGCGAGCTGTGAACGTGCCCATTCATAGGATTAAGATCAATAAGGTGTTTTATTAGATGCAGTGAACACACTAACTTAAAGATCTTTAAGTCAGAGACAACCTGGCAATGAACAAATTGTCCCGTAGACTTTAAATATCACTACAATTGCTAACTTTAGCAATAACCGAGTAGCCCTAAGGTTATGCATTTTGCTGTTCTTTTTTCATATTCAGATGCATGATAAAAGAATTGATCAAGATACAAATGCATGTCTCTGTGACCTTACAGTGCAGGTTGGACTAAATTAGAGACTCCACTCTTGGGACCTCTGACTCCTATAGGTGTTTGAGAGAGCCTTTGTCTTTCTGAGATCTCCAATGATAGTATAGCTCTGTCACTGTTTTTCTTAATGCCATGTAGCCAATTTCAAGTCAGTCTGGCTTTTCAATCACAATCCTTGGATGGGCGTTTATCTGAAATGTTTTGTTACCATACAAACAAGTGTCTCATCAAGGCAGTTTAATATTTATGTATCCCAGCAACGGAATAAAACGCTCAGAAACGATTATATTTTTGTAAAACCAAAAACTTTTCATGTGCACCAAAGTGATAAATTATACTGTCATCGCACATAAAGATGTCTCTATTTGTGCACATGTGGGTGTCCTACACTTGACAGTCTACAGTTAAGAGCAAGTAAAGAATGCAAATTCACAGAGCGCATTCCTTAAAAGTAAAATGGAATTTTCCAACACCTGTATCTTTAGCTCTGGTTTAAAATTAGCTTGCAGTAGTTGGATTGATTACAGCCCATGCTGATTGGAGAACATTTGCAATGAGATGGTGACTTAGGTCAACTGTCGTGTAGTGGCATGTCTTTTTGATTATACAACAGATGGATGTGTTTGGCCTGTTGCAATAGACTTCAGTAACAATAGCAAGTATCTGGAGCAGTGTCAAAAAGGGTGTTATGTATGAAGTAATGTGAACCATAAGAAGGGAACTCTTGCTCGCTGACAAATGGCGCCTGTGCTGTCATCCCTGCTGACAATTCAAGACCCTGCAGGCCTACAATGTTTTTGTGACTGTTTCAGAAACTCTTTTGAACCTTAATGGAGGACAGATTAGTCACCAGAGCATACCATAGTAGTTGTCATAGCTGTTCTAGTAGCATTAACAGCAACAGCAGTAGAAATAGTGATGTATT